CACCTTTCCGGTACACGCTTTTCATAGCCAGTTCCAGATTCTGGCACCAGTTCTTATTATTTTGACTTGAAACTCGTTTTACAAGTCCTACATGTTATTCTAGTAATTATCATGCACTTATTATAATTTTCCAGGATACTTTTTCGATACGCATTTATACCGACTAGCAGAACCGGTATTTGCACTTTTCTTCCGAAAAGCGACTTTCAACATTTTTAATCACTTACTATAATTATTAGAGCCTCGTAATAATTATTAGGGTCAATTATGGAATTATTTCTTAATTTCGCATAATTAATTAATTAACTTCCTTAATTAACGGTGCAGGTTCTTACACAAACCACCACAAGCAGCACTATTGGAATGACCACATTCAACTTCCACCATCCTATCTGAGGAGGTTTCCAAAATGGGTTGTGTTTCACACGAGTAGGCTTTTCTCTAGTATTTAAAAGGAACACCGATTTTATCTGGGAATATACAAAGAAATCACCATACCTGGATTAGAAGCATGAACAAAATCATTATCATAGTTGGCTAAACTCTTTTATGCCATGTTAACAATTTCTTGCATTTGTTTTTCCCACTTCCAAGTAGGGGATGCTCATAAGCTATGAAGCACCGACACTTCTTCAAAATTCCTGACGTATCGTGTCCGATACTTTTCGACATACTCCGACACTCTAATACTCGTTGCAAAGACTCAAAAAAGGTTCGAAGTTACGTTGCGTTGCATTTTGAGTTTCAACTATTAGATTCATTAGATTACGATTACTATTTTATTGAGTTTAATATAAACATTTGTGATATCTTATGTTTCTTTACAAAATTGATGGTTGTTATAAATTTAGTTTTATTTTTTGGTTAAATTTTTGAATTTTAAATATAATATATACTACATAAATTATATATAATATCAAAATGTGTCCTAATGTATCACAATTTTAACATTTTTTAGAATTAATGTGTCGAAGTATCATATCATATCGTATCTCGTGTTCTGTATCGGTGTCGGTGCAACATAGCTTATGAGTGCCATTAGAAATAGAAATCCATTTTTTTAGACTGGTCATGACCCAACTAATGAACAAGTTCGGATTCGGTAGACTCAAATGGCTCGCCCTTGATACGGTCTCTTCAATTGAGTCTGCAGAGTTTTGTTGAACATTATGAAGATTGCTCTTCGCGTCTGTGGTTGGTTGCACGGTGCTATTAATGCATACCATTTCAGGGAACAGTGACCAAAGTGCCACTGTTGGCGAAAAAAATTACCAGACTGTCACGCCAACAATAAATTTTGCCAAAATGTCACGTGGCATATTTCGCTACACTGCGTAGCGAAATATGTGTGCAAATAATTCGCTACACTGTATAGCAAAATATGTCACGTCAGAATGCACAGAACCAAAAATGCCACGTGTCAAACAGGTAGAATTTCGCTACACTGTGTAGCGAAATTCTCACTGTATGACACGTGGCATTTTTGGTTCTGACGTGACATATTTTGCTACACAGAGAAGCGAATTATTTGCACACATATTTCGCTACACAGTGTAGCGAAATATGCCACGTGACATTTTGACAAAATTTACTGTTGGAGTGGGAGTCTGATAATTTTTTTTGCTAATAGTGACAAAATGGTCACTGTTCCCCATTTCAGCTTAAACGGATGATGCAAAAAAATCTTCTTTTGGAAGAGCTAATCTCATTATAATACGGATTTTTTCCACAATAACAGTATTACCTACGTGGTTTATAAATAAAAAATGTGTAATAGCAAATTGAAATTAAGTGATAAGCATAATAGTAATTGCATAATAAAAATGGAAGTGTGTGGGCCGCTTCATGTTACGCTTTGGCATGGGTTGTGCCAATGAATTGGGCTGGACCATTACATAACACAGCCATACGCAACCCTCCTTAACAAAGACTTGGTGGTGATTATTCAAAAAAAAAAAGACTTGGTGGTGTTTCTTTTAGCTTAAAGTTGCGATAACTTCAATCTTAAAGTTCAGCTCAGTTGATAAATTAATTTATAAGGGCAGATTTTATCTTTAGAAATTTAAATTTTATTGAAATCCTTTTTTATAATTAAAGCTAAGCTAACACTTGAACGAAGATTAATCACACATTCGGAACGTGCGACTGCATCTCACTTTTATGTAATTTGGTATGTGACGTATGCACTAGTACAAGTAATAAATCACATACGAAATTGGTTGGAGCATCAACTTGTATAAATCATTTGTTTGTTGCAACTTGAAAAAAGGGACCTTCACTTTTTATCTAGCACTAATACATTGAAGTATTCAAATTGTACAAGCAATGAGCTTCTATTTCTGCCGTGGAATATAAAGTGTTTATGCAGTGCCGCACTTTAAATAAAGCCTTGAAAGTAGATTTTTGTGCAAAGTAGATTTATTTGTCACGAAGGTGGACTTTTCTTGATAAGCAGATTCATTCATATTTGATTATATCTGAATGTGCATTTTCATAAAGCACAGGATTTGCTAACATGAGGCACCATCTACTAGTCGATCAATGCTCAGTAATGGCTGAGTCATTTAGCCATGCTTCATTTAGATCGGTGAAGTTTGTCCTCTACACTCTTCATTTTTCGTTTAACTTGAATAATTAGGTGGTACAATGAGTAGAAACTGGAAGAATATCTATATATTATAACGGGAAAAATATCTCACTGTGTTGTCGATTTTTTTTAGGGATATATTTTTCTTATGTTGTAGGAAAAGAATTACCTTATGTTGTAGAAACAAAAGTATAAATGGGACCCACATGTAAAAGGAGAGAGAAAAAAAAAGCGGTGGGACCCAACCTCTTTTTGTGTGTGTAGGAGAGATGTTTATCTCATGTAAAATGAGATAAACATAACCCTTTTTTTTAAGTAGAAACTACATAATTTAACATGGTAAACGGAAAGGTACTATACTGCTGTTGCAAGCTGTAGTCTCCCCCACTAACCCAATCTCAAAGATGTTTTACTTTGGAATTTCAACTTCTTTGAAATATCGTCATTGCTTATTTAATGGATTAGAAGGTTCTCTTTCCATCACTGTTTATTTATCAAAAAAATGAAGGGGTAGGTACTATTTTAGTGGAACCCAACAACAGAACACAATAATTGAGAATAGCTGTCAGCTTGCTGAATAATATTTTCAATATTTTTAGCTTTGAAACGTGGACATAATGAAATAGTCAATAGCAGCTAATTAGTATAACGGCATACATGTGTGGAATTTGGTTAGTAACTGAATTTTCCGATAATAAATATTCATTTAAGCCACGCTGCAACCATTGCGTCCTTGCAAATCCATGCCTTGTTAAATGCACTGGCACTCAAATTAAATTCTTGACTCGATTCCTTTTTACAAATGATTAAGTGCATCTTTGGTTTAGAATCGTGGCCCTCAAAGGAACCTTGATGCTTGAAAAATTGAATTCAATAAAATATTCTCTTTTGACTTATAAATATGTTGTAGCTAAGTATTATTTCACTATTTTAAGAATTGATTTTTTCCGCTGAATGCATTCTTGGGGAGGGGGCTGAACCTTTAGCCATCACTGTTCCCCCGCATTCCGGATTAGTCTCATAGCCGGCTCAAAGAGTCAAGCTCGTGGGGATACCGGAGGAAGCCAACTCGTCTCAAAGAAATAATTAGGGTCGGGTAACTCCAAAAAAAAAAAAAAAAAATTGGTTTTTTCAACGCTAATGAATAAATTACACAGTTACCTTCATCTAATTTTACGTAGGCTTTTGATTATTATTATTATTCTTATTATTATTTTTATTTCATTTTCGGTAATTTTATCTTTAAAAGTGATTTTAATGATTATTATTATTATTATTATTATTATTATTATTATTATTCTCTAAACACAATTTAATATTTTTAGATCGATTATTTTAACATCAACATTTTTCACAATTAATTCTTTTAATGCAATTCAGTTAAAATTAATTCTATCAAAATCTACCCAATTTTAATTGCATTTGTAAAGCTGGAGTTTAATTTACCTATGCAAAAGTCCACCATTCATTTTAGAAATATTGCGAGGATCTCATATCCCTACAAGAATGAAGAAAATAAATGATAATTAGGTGAAGGAAATAATAATAATAATGTTTAAAAACTTTTCGAAAATTTAAAAAAAGTCTGAGAAAAGAAATTTTTTTTTTAAGGGACAGCCTGTGCTCTGACCAATGATTTTGTTAACAATTTTACGTAAGATATTGTCATATGTGTGAGTAAAGGAACTTTTTTCAAACTATTATATGCCATGAGTTAAATTTGAAGGGATAAAACTTGAAGTTAAAACTGCCAGCCAGTCACCAAGCCTGGGCACGAGGCATTAGAAAATAATAATTGAGTACACGGCATGCCAAGGGATTAATTATGACGGGAACTATACGTTCACCGAAAAAATTGACTCATTTATTTTAACAAAATATTTTTCTTAGTTGCATGAGACAATTTGTCTCACGCAACACACAAAAAAGTAAATGAGACTTATTTTTTTTCTTTCCCTCCTCTTTTTAGTGCGTCCTATCGACTTTTTGTGTATTACATAAGACATTTTATTTTATGCAACAAGAAAAAAATATTTTTCTTTATTTTATCTTCATCGTATTTTATTTTAAAATAAAAGAATAATATAAATTTACTTCTTCGTTGTAAAAATAACATCAATTTAACACATATTTTTCCAAGGTGCAACACAGGCACAGTATATTTTTCATCTTTTTCGTGTCAAACCGTTAGAAATGGAGATGCATGGACTTTAACACGGACTTCCCCACAGTTGAGTAGTCAAGTTCATTAATTAAAGTTTAGTAATTAACTGCTCTCGCTAACATTTGTTTAGGCAGTGACTTTTCAGATATCTGGTAGACAGTATAATTAGCTTTCAATAAAGAAACAATTAACAAACCAGATTAAGTACCGTAAGTACCCTCCTCGATAAAGCAAGAACAACGTCACAGCATGCAAATATGGCGAAAAAGAGGGAGGTCAAAGTTGGAAGAGAAAAAGGAAACAAAAGCCGTATCTAATCTTCCACGTGGCCACAGCTTCTAAATTCTCATGGTGGCAGTAGTTCCGTAGTAGAACCCTCATAGTAGTTCACGATGTTTAGCTTTAGCAGACTCGGTCTCCTCAACAGGTAAAGAGACCCATTCATTCAAAACCATCGTGTGCAAGCACACGCGAGTTTATTATATATTCCTAAGCAACAATAAACAAAGCCTCTTCCCTACATATATACCAATTAGCGTGCGCGTGTGATAAAATTAAAACATGGGTGGCAATGGCAAGCATAGGTGGAAAATCTCCTTTCATCGTTCTTCCTCTCACTCAAAGCTGGAACCAAAACACCCTCCCAAGGAGTTCTTATGTCCCATTTCCGGGTCCTTAATGTCCGACCCGGTTGTCGTCGCTTCGGGTCAGACCTTCGAACGCCTCGCCGTCCAAGTCTGCACTGCTTTGAACCACTCTCCCATTCTGGAAGACGGGTCCCGACCCGATTTCTCAGCTGTCATCCCCAATTTGGCCATTAAAACAACCATCCTCAACTGGTGCGACAAATCCGGTACCCAACACCCGCCCGCACCTGATTACCCCTCCGTGGAGAGGCTCGTCCGGGAAGCAATGGCGGCGGAGACTGCGGCGGTAGAGGCTCAGGAAGACCGAATTAGGGTTTCCGAGAAGGAGCTGCTCAAGGCGGTGGCGGATACCCCGCCGGTGATTTTCTCCCACGCCGCCACCGAGTTGGGACCACGAGTCAACCACTACAACTCGGGATCGTCGTCGGAGGAATCGGTTATAATCGCGGCGAGTCCGGGAACCCCCTTGCCGCTGACGATTCGCCCAACGTGCTTCTCTTTCTCCTCGTCGTCCTCCTGCGAGATCGAAATCCAAAACCCTAGCATACCGGCATCGGAAGAGGAAGAGAAATTGGTGAACAAGCTGAGGAGCAGCGAGGTTTTCGAGCAAGAAGCAGGGGTAATCTCGCTGAGGAGCATCACGAGGAACAGGGAGGAGACTAGGGTTTCACTGTGCACGCCGCGGTTGCTATTGGCACTGCGTTCGCTGATTTTGTCTCGATACGCCGTCGTTCAGGTCAATTCGGTGGCTTCGGTGGTCAACCTTTCGCTGGAGAAACCGAACAAGGTGAAGATCGTGAGGTCAGGGTTCATCCCCTTCCTCATCGACGTGTTGAAGGGGGGATCCAATGAGTCGCAGGAGCACGCTGCGGGCGCGCTCTTCAGCTTGGCTTTGAACGATGATAACAAGATGGCCATTGGGGTTCTCGGCGCGTTGCAGCCACTCATGCACGCGCTGAGGTCCGATTCTGAGCGGACTCGGCATGACTCGGCTCTCGCGCTGTATCACCTCACTCTGGTTCAGAGTAACCGAGTCAAGCTCGTGAAACTCGGGGTGGCCCCCACGCTGCTTTCGATGGTGAAGTCGGGGACATTGGCTAGCCGGGTTTTGCTGATTCTGTGCAACCTTGCGGTGTCCACGGAGGGACGGACGGCGTTGCTGGACGCCAACGCGGTGGAGTGCTTGGTGGGGTTGCTGAGGGGGAACGAGTTGGACTCGGAGGCGACTCGGGAGAACTGTGTGGCGGCGCTGTATGCGCTGAGTCACAGGAGCTTGAGGTTCAAAGGGTTGGCGAAGGAGGCCAGGGTTGTGGAGGTTTTGAAGGAGATTGAGGAGACGGGAACGGAGAGGGCTAAAGAGAAGGCCAAGAGAGTGTTGCAGATGATGAGGACTCAGAATCAAGAGGGTTTGGACTTTAATGAGGTTTTGGAATCGGGCGGGTTGACTCGAACCAGGAACCGAGTTGGTGGTGGGAGGAATGCCAACCTTGTCAACACAACTACATTTTAGGTTTCTGGTTTTTATTTTAATTTCCCCCCTAATTTCTGGTTTTCTTTATAAAATTTGTTGGTTCAGGTTCAGTAGGAAAAGAGATTAATTATTATTGATGAAATTTGTGAGTAGTTTAAGGGGATTGAAAGTAGGATGGGACTTAATTGCGAACTAGTGTATATATTGGGTTTCTGGGTTTGGGGTGTAAATCATGGTGGTGGCCATTTCACGCTCACTATTCTGCCTTTTTTTTTATTTTATTTTTAAAAAAGCTTATGTTGAGTTATTTAGTCTGTAATCAGCGTCTAGGTGAATATTTGTACGCTAACGTGTACATAATTATACAAAATTGTTTACTTTGGTGCACGCGAAGAACAGAGATCTGTACAGTGATTTGTGACTTTCTGAATTTGTTTATCTGTTAAGGTTGTAACTAAGACCACCAACCCTTTCTTTCCATTGATGCATGCAACTGTGATTCGTTATATAATCTGAGTTTCCATTTCAAAATTCAAATGCCAGTATCTCAAGATTTTACGTGCGAATTAGCAGCAATTTCCTCGCGGCATTCTCTTCTCTTAATTTGAGGGCCTTCTCACTTGCTCAGCTATTTTTATAAGCATCCTGCGGGCGCCCATAATCCCGGGACATCTTATGTGGGAAAAACAGAATCTTGAACAATTTTTGTTTTCTGAAATTATTGATTTTCGTATGAAGTTTATACCTAAGATTCTTGTCTCTGACAAACGAAGTAATATCATTTTGTGTTAAGTCCTTTGTGTTTCATTATATAATAATCAAAATTATTATACATGCTTATAAGACTATCACTATAAAATCAAATGAAGCTTCTAAACTGCTAAAGTCAGGGATGGCGCCAAGGAGAACCACAAATCTCGATACCTAGCTGACGCCAAGCTCTACAAGACATCATTGGCCTCACACGGTTTCCCCAAAGAATTCGTGGAGTACCGTATACTATCCACCAATGATCCTGCGCAACCGGAGGCAATGGACTCAGTTGGGGAGTGTTCTGGACTGGTTTGTTTTGGGCTGTGCTCTCCCACTGGACTACAGATATGTCAACTCCAAAGGGCTTTTGCTTCCCTCAAATTCAGAGTTTCCTTCTTACTAAGATGTATGCCTACTTTAGCAATTCCTTTTTCTTTGCACTTGTTCATGATTTGATCTTAATGAACGGACAAAGCTTAAAGTGTTTGGCTGATCGCAATCCACCCATGTTATGAAGATATCTTGAACATTTATTTCCGTGAAAGGATGTTTGGTCATAATGACACCAGCTTCTTAATTAGCGGTATTTAAGGTCTACAATACATATTACTCTATGAATCCTTCCTCTTTTTTGTGTAGACTCAAGTGTGTTTGGATAGGTTCTATTCAGCCCAGATGGTACATGGCCCCCATTTTGGAAAGCTCAAGCCATGAGTTCCCAAACTGAAACCTAGACTTATGATTAATTTATAGAATAAGATATGATATCTATCTTTTTTTTCATGTCTACTTCACCTATTACTCTCCAACACTATTAGATCAAAATCTTAAGCGAATATAGGAATTGTGAAGGTTAATTAAGATTGTGATCCAATGGTGTTGAAGAAGAGTAGATAGAATAAATATAAAAATATTGGCATAATATCTTATCCCTTTAACTTATTTGGCCCGAAAGATAGTTTGGAAAGCTAAATTTGAAATTTTCAAGTTTGAGCCTAAATTTACTATAGGATATGCCTTAGGCGGTTTGTACTCGGCAAGGGTTGTACAGTACTTAATTTTAATTTATACTGTTCTAACCTTTGCCCAATATGGGTAATATTGTATGTTTTTATTGGTTTTGTTTTCCTCTAAACAGACACTATGTACCTTCTAACCAAACTCAAAGAGAACCTGTCTTAAATTGGTCTATAGGACGCTTTTCATGAACACATTGCAATATGGGTACTTTACTTGCGCATGACAAACCGTATCAATTCTTAAGACACACCTAAATGCTTTGTTAATTTTTTTTTTTAATCAAAAGCCCTCCTCTAGAACCTGTCCCATGAATTTTCTTCCACTTACTAGCTACTAACTAATCATCCACCATGCCATTATACATTTCGGCCTGACCAAACCCGGAGACTAACCAAACCTCTTGTAGCAGAACCTAGACAAAAAGGAGGTCGTATCAATACAATCAAACTGCTGAAGACAACATCATAAACTTGGAGGAGTGGAGGTCTAGTCCCAACAAAGGCTTCTTGCATCAAGTTGCTTGTTTGACACAAGAGGCAAATTATGCTTGGAGTATATGCGAGATTTCTAATTATGCAACTCAGTCTGAGTCGTCACTTTTCGAAAGAATTGTGTTGGGAAGAATTTGGTCCCTCAATCTCGGTTAAGAAGCCTTTGCGAAAGTCAAATGTCGTACTCGGAGCTCGGCTATCAAAGAGGTCGGCCTGAACTCTCCAGGTCGGCCTATACGCAGCAAAAACAGAAATACAGAAAGGAGAGAGAGATATAGATGAACACAAGCATATTTTTAACATGGAAAAACCTTCTCCAATATGAAGAAGAAAAAACTCATAGGATACTAGTTCAGAATCAAACTTCCATTAAGAAAATAATTGGTACAAGATATCAAACCTCACAAATAATGGAGGTACACTCAAATTTCACCAGAATGGTGGTACACTCAAATTTCACCTACAGTAGTGGTATTCTCTCAAACTTCCCTAAAGAGGTCTAATACTCAACCTTCTTCGTGAAGGTGCTCTCAAAATTTTCTCAAAATGTCTAACCTTAGTCTCTCACATAACACAAGCTTATATAAGAGAAGAGAAAAAATTATACAATATTAAAAGTGGGGATTAGGGTTACTTGAACCTAAGTTCTTTGAGTTTCTTGAGCCTCACTTACCAACATTGGGCCTAGGTAGCATTGAGGAAGAAAAACCCAACAATTCTCCCCCTCCGACTTCAATGCGTCGACATCAGCAGCCCGACACCTTCACAGCAGTCTTCAAATTTTCTTGTTGGTACTGGCTTTGCCATCATGTCAGACCAATTAAGGTCAGTGTGCACCTTAATGAGTTCGAGCTCTCCATCTTCCACCACATCCTGGATCCAGTGATACCTCACGTCAATGTGTTTAGTGCGGGAGTGATAGGTCGAATTCTTCGCAAGATGAATTGCGCTTTGATTGTCACATCTCAGCTCGTACTTGTCTTGTTCATGACCGAGTTCAGAGATAAACTTCTTCATCCGCAGCATCTCTTTGCTTGCCTCAGTCGCAACAATGTACTCGGGGTTGGTCGTCAAGAGTGCCACACACTTCTGTAATATAGATTGCCAAGAGATAGCTCCTCCTGCAAATTTCATCAAAAATCTCGTTGTCGACTTCCTCGAGTCGGCATCTCCCCCTAAATCAGCATCCAAATAGCCTTGTAACTCTGCCTTACTTTCTCTGAAGCAGAGGAATAAATTTGTTGTTCTTTTGAGATACTTGAAAATTCATTTCATTGTTTTCCAGTAGCATCTTGTCTTTTTCTTCATCAGATCTTGGACATTTATGTGTCCGACTAAGGGGGTGCTTACTGTTTTGGCTTTATCCATGCTAAATCTCTTCAGAATCTTCTTAATGTATTTTTCTTGACTCAGCCATAGTAGCCTTTTAGGTCAATCTAGGATAATCTTTATTCCGAGTATTTGCTTTACAGGGTTAAGGTCCTTCATTGCGAAAGACAAGCTTAACGCCTTCTTCAAGGCGACTATCCTCATTTTGTCTTGCCCTACAATCAATATTTCCTCAACATATAACAACAAAATTAAAAAATCTTCGGCCTTATACCTCTTCACAAATACACAGTGGTCAGCCTCTGTCTTCACATACTTGTGATCAGTCATGAAGGATTCAAACTTCTTGTACCACTGCCAAGGTTCTTGCTTCAAGTTGTATAGACTATTCTTCAACCGGCATATCAAGCCTTCTTACCTTGGAGCTTGGAATCCTTTTGATTGTTCCATATATATCTCTTCTTCTAGGTCTTCTTCAAGAAATTCCGTCTTCACATCTATTTGTTCAACTTCAAGGTCCATCGAAGCCGTCATGGCTCGAACAGTATGGACCGAAGTCATCTTTACAACAGGAGAAAGTATTTCTTCAAAATCTACTCATTTCTTCTTATTACAGCCTTTCACCACAATCCTGGCTTTGTATCTCGGCTTCTGGCCGTTCTCTTCATGTTTTATTTTGTACACTCACTTGTTCTTCAGAGCTCGTCTTCCTTGAGGAAGCTCGGAAAATTTGTAAGTCTGATTTTCAAGCAATGACTTTATCTCGTCTTGCATTTCTTTCTCTCATTCTTCTTTGTTTGAGCTCATCATAGCCTCATCATAACTCTGAGGTTCGCCATCTTCAGCAACCAAGGAAGCATTGACACAACATTTCTTTTGAAAAATGCATATCAGACACATGTCGGATACCAATACATTTCGACATGCGTCTGACACGCGAACAATGTTCGAGGACACGTTGACTATTTCAACACGTGAATATGACCAAGTCCGACACGGTCAAATGTCATTTTTGTAAAAAAAATTATAATTTTTAAATATTAAAAAATTTAATAAAAATAGGAAAAACATTGAATAAAAGGAAGAGGCAGCAACAACGCTCCTTGAATGACGTCGACTAAGACAAACGAGACAGTGTCGTTGGACAGTACGGGAGGTGCTGTTGTAGGTAACCATTGGAAGAAGGTGGTGGTACCGGTGGCTTTTGCCTCCGCTCATCATTTGGTTGTTGATAACTCTCCCAAATGAGAGTTAATTTAGTATTTTTATGATGAATTTGTTGCATAAATTCCATATAAGTTGACCTCTTTGCATGATAATTGAGCTAAATATTGTATATTTATGATTAAGTGCTTTGAGATGACTAAGTATGGAAAATAAGACAATATCCCTTGATTTTGTGTAAGAAAAGATGACTTGTTGAGTGTTTGTCTTTGTAGGAAAAATTGACGTAGGAATGCTGTAGCAGAGAAGCTGACGAAGTAATGATATAGCAAGCGCTACAGCATGACAGCGTGGACAAAGGAACAACCGAACTTTTTAATTTCAAAAGTTAGTTATTCCCAAACAATGCACCAGCAAGCAAGGGAAGTTTCTGAAGATTTAATTCAGAAACCACAAGGGTCAAAGACAAATTCAAAGATTGAATCTTATCCAAATCCCAAAGAACAAGGACAACAACCTTGATTCGGTCAACAACATTGGCACAAGAAATCCAAGAAGATAAAGATCCTATCCAATTGAGTGCCAACAAATCTGAAAATCTCAAGAATCAAGGACAACAAACTCAACTCCTACTCGGTCAACAACAACATTGGCACAAAGATTCCAAGAAGATC